TCTTCCCTCCATCCTCTCAGTAGAGATGAGTGGGTGGAGTGAAACATTGTGCCCTGGAGATTGTTGTGCCATCCGCTTTTCAGATGTTGTGGCCTTTTTGTGTGCCGATGTAACAAAAACAAGAAAAATTCACTTGCAAAGAAAAAATCTAGGATATTGTCTTGTTATTGTCTTACAGAGATGTTAATCTTACTTAAAAATTGACAGCTTACTTGCTTTATTCCCACTTTCCCTTCTCTCTCTTTCTTTGTTTGCTTTGATCACATTTATCATTTCGTTTCCAATTCGCAAGTTTCTGAGGATATATCCCCCTCTGCTTTTTCTTTGTGTGGCAGCTGAGAGGAAAAAATGTGGGCATCCTCTCTCAGAATTTTAAATTATCTTCTCACTTACTTTGCCTTCATCTTCACCCCGCCTCTCCCCTCTTTGGCCATTTTTAGAGAGAAAATCCCATCCTCTCCCACAGAACATCTGAGTGCCTGGGTTTATGCAAGTGTGTAGAAGTGTGTGCAGCAACATACACTGGCGCATAAAAACACATACCCTCTAAAGGGTATATGAGAAATATACCCTCCCTGTCTATTTCTGCAGATTTCTGAAGACACTGACTGGCACCAGGTGATACTTTGATGTAATAAAACAGCACAGTAAACCAATAGTTTGTGTATTTGACATCTATTTAACTTATACATAAAATTTGTATTACTTTTCTTTTTGTTGTTTTTTTTTTGTCTTCCTGAATGATTATTGACATAGCCAATTGAGTTGCCATGTAGCCAGCTATTGACATCCTACTAGTGTTTGTAAAGTTCATCAATTGTTATGTTTAACACAAAATAAAAAAAACAAAATGCCCTCATGACATAAGGATGTTTTCCATAGTTACTTGCTGCTCATACTGGGCAGCTTCATATGACGAAGTCCCAAACAAGCAGCTGTTGTAACTAAATCATCTAGGTTGTGGCAGAAATGAATATATATATATATATATATATATATATATATATATATATATATATATATATATATATATATATATATATATATATATATATATAAAACAATTGCTGAATTGCTGAACTTGGACTACACTCGTGTCTAAGATCTGCAAACTTCCAAGTTTCCATTTCCAAGGAAAGATTAAAGATGCCCATCAACCAAACTTCACTAAACCACTTTAAAATGTAAAAATAGCCCTATTTTTGAAATTGTGTCCAAACATGATGTATATGATGCGGAAAGCTTTTACAGAAGCTTCACTTATGGACCCAAACCACATCACATTATAGGTTTGTTTACGTCATTGCTGTCTTTGGTGCAGACCCATTACCGACCCAACCTTTGACCTCTTGTGATGTCTTTTAAAGTGTATCTACATTTGTGTCCTTTCGTCCATCCATCTGTTCTGCCATCAGACAAGGTCCATGTTTCATGCTGCCAGGAAGATTAATGTCTGCCTTATTCCCACTAATAGGGGAGTCTGCAGATAAAGACGGAGACATTTGTGGTTCAAAGCTCATTTTGACAGATTCTTTCACATTTTTCATTCTGTTGTCTTGAAGTAAGATGTCACATTGATGATTAAAATGCTAATATGTGTCTGTATGTTATTCCAGTATTGTACAAGTATTACCAGTCGTTGTATTTGTTCCACATTGTCAAGTAAAGGTCATTTTCTTTTTTCCCACTGATAAATCTGTTCAGTGCATCTGTGAAACACATCTGTTCAGCACACTGACTTCAGATATGTGCACAAAAGACCTTGGATAAATTATGAGGAGAACATGTTAGGGAGATGGAGGTGAACATTTAAGTGTTGGTATCTTGTATCTTTATCTGCACATTGGAAAGTGTGGGATGACTAAGTCTTTCATTCCTATACTTGCTAAATCAATGTGAAAACAGTTTTGTGTTTTGAGGGAGTGAGTAAAGGGATAACTTTTAATCGCTGAGCTGATCCTCATTTAAATCCATTTCAACACAGTCTTGTTTTCCTAAAATTTGGTTTGGAAATATCCTCACTTAAAGCTTTTTATTATTATTATCATTATACATTTAGCTCAAGATAACCTGGTGCAACTTCATCCATTATTAAGCTGGTAACAATTTAATACTTCATAACACAACTCTCCTCCTTTTCTCTTTCTTTGCGCTCTCCACACCATTGGTTCATAATTACTTCAGCTAGTTAGGATGTGTAAAAGGCTGTAAAATGAATTAATTTTGTCATTGTAGTGGTATAATCTGACATTGAAAAGTAAATGTTGCTATACTTAATAGTAGTGTCCATAGAAATTATTTTGAAATTAATGTAACTAAAGCATCTTCATAATTTCAACTGATCAGATTTTCTGCAGAAACTTGCAATGATAAATTTATGACCTTATGCATCCTTGGAGTAAACAAACTATTCCTTGAATTGCTCTTCAAGTTTAAAACAACTGGATCTGTGACAAAGGGTCGAGGTTACACGTTTGCTGGGTTTTATCTTGAAATAAATATTCAGAGTTTGCAGGAACTTCACCTAAAACCATATATTTTGGGCTGGATGAAATGAAACCAAGCATTTCTGCAACAAATACTTCAAGTGGATCTTAAACGAATAATAATGGGGGAACAGCACCTTATGATTCACAGTACTTTCTTTTTTTAAACTCCCAGGAAATATATTCAAGCAATAAACTGATGAACTACTGAACTCATACAAAAAACAAGAATTAAGTGCACTTTTACAACATAATAGGACATGTACCAATAAATACGAAGGCAGTGATATGATAAATAGCAATATTTGCTAACCCAGGTTTTTAGAAATCTCCTTTGTTTGCTTTGATTGTTCCCATGAGTAAAGCTTTCCAAATTTATGGTTCAATTTCCCATAAATTTTCATTATTACATTATGCTTTCCTGATAAAAGACTCAATTTAAGACATTTTTACATGTCTTTACTTGACTGAATAAAGTGTGGAGTGTGCTTCATATGTGTGCTTACCACATCAATTACGTTAGTTGTTTACTGTCTTTGCCATCACCTGTCTGTGGGTAACTGGATATGAAATGATTTATTCTTGGTTCTGGTTTCTGTTTCTAACCCAGAAAACCAGGAATACTCAGTTGTCTTTTCCTGTCTCCATAAGAAAACCTCAAACCCCGACATCACTGTTGTTGTTCTGTACATAAAAAATGTAACTTAATTAAACTGAACTCTCATATAAGCAATAAGCAATGATACATCACAAGGCTTTTGGCAGTGATTACATAAAGAAAGGCTTACTTCCCTGTTCATGGCACCCTGTTCATGGCACAGAATACTGTGGGTTAATTATATATCCATAAGGATTTCATGCAGAAAGAAACTCAATTTAATGGCTAACTAAGAATTATTAAGCATAATTATGCCACAACAGATTATAATTAATGTTAATCCACAATCTGTCCAAAACACTTAAGCATCAATTGTGCAGTCATTAATGAGGATGCTTGCATTGTCGTTTTTAATCTAATTTCCTTCACATGTTCTTTTTAAATGAGTTGACACTGCAGTCAGTTAAATGTAGAGAAGCTTTATATTCTTATATTCCTTTGGTGAAAAGTTGCTATCTTCTTATGCCAATTATGTCAAAGAGTGATTGCAAGAAGCAGATGCTGCCCCAACATTACTGGGGTAAGGTGTTTATTTTGATTTTTTTTTTCTTTCTTTACAAAACAACAACTAAAACATCCTTTGTGAAATAGGTTCCATGGCTGAGCAGCTAAAGAATTATATTTAATACTTTTATTAACTTTCTCAGCATTTTTAATAAATACATTTCACTGAATAAGCAAACATATTCAGGGAATGAATTCAATTATGCGCAACTGCAGTCAAATAATGTTCTCCATACATTTCCACTGTCCTCTATCAACATTCCCTTCACCCACATTGTTGATGGTGTCTGTTTTTCTCCCAATGAAATCACTGATTCTTGCCTGTGAAAGTGCAAAATTAATCAAAACTGAAGATATGAGGTTCTTTGGGTAGACGCCCAGCAGACTTTGCATCACTCCCACAATATCCAAAATGGTACAAACTACCATCTTTCAACATCTCTGAAAATTTGAAGCAGTCTCAGTGAAGCAAGGTGCTGTTGCCTTCTGAATAATAATAAAAAACCTATCTACAGTGTCAAAATTTGTTAAATTGTCCAGATGTACTGTACATTCAAAATAACCACTTATATTGAAATAGTCTCAGTGTTGTATTAATCAATTGTTTCTGAGCTTTTAAATATTTTAAATTCTTGCTTGCGGAAAGATGTTTATGACCCAGAGGAGCTATGCTAACTTCTGGTCCCCACCATCAGATCTAAACCAGAAAACAGTGGCTTGGTCTGAAAATGCATCTTTCATCTTATCCTTATATGAACAGCTAGTTATGTGTGAGTCATTCATCTAGAGGAAATGGCAACATGCTGTTTTATGGTAAGAAAACAACATGGTGGGGTCAGTGTGATGCTCTCGGCAATATTCTGCTAACCAAATTTAGGTAGTGCCTCTTATTCACATCCTTATCGAAAGATTTCTCTTAGCCGAAGAGTAATTTGGCCATATTATAAATTGACGGATAATTTGCTGAAATATCTTTCATGAGCATCAGTTTAAGCCAAACCTTTCTTCATGCAGGCTACAATTATGTATTTGTTATGTATTTATGTATTTGTCCCCCCACACACACATTTTCATGAAATAATAAATAATCTGCAGATAGCAATAACTTTTGTTCTATATTTTATACTAGGATTAAAATAAGACTAACATCATAGACAAAATAGGAAATGTATCCAAGAAAATGCTATGTCCTCTGAAATGATGGGAACATGGGGACATACCAATGTGTGTTTCACATATGGATCTGAGAATGTCTCAAAAGTTCAGACTTTGCTTGAGGCTGGCAGTCTCACACTGAGTACATTCAGGATGACAGATTGTCGATGAGACGGTGCAAAGAGAAGGAGAGTGAGTGGCACAATGATATGTTTATTGAGAGACTTTGGATAATAGAAAAAATAGGGGTTGCTGCTGCTGGAATGTTACAACCGTAGACAGGAAACATGGACATCAATTCCCTTAACTAAACAAACACTTACTCGCGCATACAGGCACACGTAACCGAACAGTCTCCATCCGAACGCTCTCGAGAGAAAAAACTTACAGCAATGCACGGGACAAGACGGTATCACAGTTACTACTAGTTCAGTTCTACATGAGAAAATTCACAGTCACATAAGAGGGAGTTCTTTTTTTTTTCTTAGGCACAGAAAAAGCAATATGTGCATCTCAACAACAGCAAAAATTATGAGAAAAGTAAAACACATATATTAAAACCTCCAAGTGCCGAGATGAACTGAGTTTTTACCATGATTCTGTGGTGGGAACATTTTTTTTTTGAGTCTCAAAAATGCAAGCTTGGACTCAGAACAAGTACACGGTTTCCATGCTTTAAGTGAACAGGGAGATACTTTAATTGTCCCAAAGTAAGGACTCAGTTCATCTGGCTCCCCTTTTATCCTCAGCTCTTCACATAGATATACACATTTAAGGATTTTGCAAAACATGGGACTAGAACATTTAATATAAATGTAATCCCAGGTCAGTCAAAGGAATGGCTATTAAAGCATTTTCAATCTACACACACCTCCACAGTTCTCCTCCAGTGGTTTAAATAATCAAATACATGTTAATCACGTAGACGAAACCACTGACAAATACTTACTGGAGCCGTTTTAGCTCTTTTTCTAAATTTGCAGTTTGAGTTCAGAAAGTTCACTTGCTTGTTCATACCTCTGTCAAACGCTCACTCTTTGGATAACCTTGTGCTCAGATGAAAGAGTCTGAAGCTCTCTTGGTCCCCTCTGCCTCACTCCTCTCTCATTTAAATCCACTGGTTCAGCAGCTGAACTGAGAGAAACTAGATAGCTCTTTGACAGGATGTAGCACACATTTGTAGCCTTGCACTCTGTAGAAGAGCAGAGCTGAGTTGTAAGCTGGTGTTTTTTTCATTTATGTCACAGGAAGCAAGCACATTTGTTTCAGTGGGAATATATGTGTTATTTACTCCAGTAGCCTAAGGGAGTCACAATCAAACAAGGAAGCATTGAGGCGAACAGTTTCCGAGTATTGTGTGACAACACTGAGAAGGCAGAAAACAAATTCATCCAAACACTGAGAAATATTGCTGGCATTGAGTAGTCAGTCCTCACACAATTATGAACCTACAAAAATAAAATAAAAAAAACATCTAATGATTTGTTTGCTTCAGAATTGAATTACTGTCTTGAAGCGATGTCACAAAACTGTTGAGACTGGTCAAGGCGGAGATGACTCATTTACTGGACTTCTGGTGCATTTGTATATCCAAATCAAAGTAGACAATTGCTGACAGACAAAGTTGTAGGATCATACAGGTTTACGTAAAAAATCTGATCGACTTTTACAAAAACAACAGGCCAGTAAAATGAAGTCCTTCACCCACCTTTAGCTGTCCAAATACATTAACAGGAAAAGGACAGAGCAGGTTATCTATGCTCTCATTTAGGGAGGAGGAACAGATTCGATTTGACCTCAGTTTTCTGGAGGAGACATTGTGAGCTGCATCCCTAAAAGGATCGAGACACCTACCTAAGAAAAGGCAAAATCTTTAAATGTAGCTATTCCAAAAAACATAACACTAAAAATCTCTTCATTACACATCTTTGTACATGTAGATAGAGAAATTTCAAATTACTCATATATTTGGGAACTTCTCTGCTTCTATAATGAATATCTCTGCCAGTAGCTAACTTAGCTACCACAGTGATAGTATTGCTTTATATACAGCAAATTAAGATAAGAGGCTGACTTCTAAATGGCAAAGAATTTAGCCTAAGAATGTCAATTTGAGATAAACGTTTGATCTTCAATGCTAAAATGCATTAATCACAGTGGAGAGGGCATTATGGCGCGTCCTGCATGAGAGACAGCTGTGTTTGTTTGCTGGATAAGCCTTCGGCTGGATGTGCTGCTTCCAGTGTTTTCCAAGTGAGCGTCTGTGTCAGCTCACCAGACAGTTTTATTTTCATCATGGAGATTTTTCCATCCCACAATGCACTGGGAGTGGCGCCAAATAAGGAAGCGGCATTAGCTGCAGCTGTGGGGAACCAATCACAGTTTGTGCGCTAGAAAAAAAACAAAAAGAAGAAAAGTGCTTTCTCTTTTTCCCCTTCCTCCAAGACCGGTTATTGTTTTGTTCCCAATCAATATTTATTGAGTCCTTAAGAGTTCATCCTAGACTTCTGTGCATACTGCACACATGTCCCCGACACCAAACAGGTACAAATGAAAAAGGAAAACTGATGACCGATTTCTCCTTTTTGTGTCTGAACTGATGGAGAAAAAGGAACATCTGGAAAGCCTTGCTTTGCAATCAATTAATATTCAAATGTTGAATCATTCACAGACTGAGGGAGAATTGTTCCAAGTTCACATCTGTTGAGTGAGATTCTTCAAATATCCTTCTAGATCACTTTTAGGTGCTAAACAATGTCTTTAAAGTCAGTAAAAGCTTGACAACCTGCCTTATTAGACAGTAAGAGCTCTAGAATGAGAGAAAAAAAATGAAGTGCTTTGAATGAAAAAAATTGATTTATGTATTGACAATAACAGTAGTCGTTACTTTTCTGTACATCATCGACTTCAAACTTTAATTTACTGTGTAACTTTTCACCATCACTTAACCCTAACATTTGGATTGTTGAAAAAAAAGTCTTGTAACTGATTAGATTTAGCAATTTTTAGACGGCCAATTATTAATATCCAAAAACAAATTCACTGATTACAGAAATCTGGTCAGTGGTTCTGCTGGGTGACACAAATTTATGTATGTCTGCATATATTGTTTGATTGGAAAGAAATATAAATAAAACAACATAATATGAAGACATATTCTGTTCACGTTAGCCCTTCATAAGCAGGTATGGTACAACAGCTAGCCAAATCCTACGCAACCAATCACAGTTCTCTCTGTGCAACCAACACCTTCATGTGAGATTTGGAAAATCATTTTAAAAACGGTCAGAAATAATGTAAGCCCAAGTTTAAGGTCTTTATGTGATGCTTTCAAATAGATTTAGTCCTCTTAGTCATCCTTAGAGTCCCATGTTACTGTAATCCCAGCAACTGGAGGCTGATTTCCCATAAACTCAATGGAAGCTGAGGGTCAAATGTGGGCGGAGTTGTCATCTCCCTTCGCCCGTTGGCCCAGTAGCCTCCGCCAGAATCCTCATCCAGGGCTGGTGACAAAGTAGCTGACAGTACAGTGGCAGCGCCCTCTACAGGAGTCTATTGAAAGTACAAATACATGCAAAATAGTTTGAGATTCCAAGGTGTTCTTGCATACATATCTAAACCAAAAGCATAGACAAAAAAAAAAAAATGGATGTAGAAATAGCATGAAAAGTATTTACTGTGCATGAAAGCAGAACGACTGCTGTCACTGCATTAATTAAATTTCATTTGTTCTTTTGTAGAACTGTATTTGTTCACATCAAGGGCTTTAACCACTAAGGCTTATAAACATTAAGTACAAACATTATTTAGGTTACACATAATAAAGTGGAATGGAACAAGGAATAAGTATTACACATATCAAGGAAGTTCCAACAATGCATAGGAAGATGGGGCATTAAAGCAATTCTGCTCTCAATCTATTGATCTAATGGTTTAGTGCTAATTGATGACCTACAAAAAAGGTCTCTTGTTACCATGGCACTGCACAAGCAGCTGGTAATCGGAAAAAGAAGATGGCTCACTCAAAACCTTCTCAGCGTGAGTTTTGCAAAACATACTGAATGCATTGGCTGCACGTGTAAATCTCAGCTTCCGAATCGTCCAGTGAGCAAAGTTGGGGCCAGACTGAAGAAAAGGCAATAACTTATTCTGCTATTAATCAGCCACAACCAGGTGCTCCTGAAAGAATTTTTGGTAACACTTTATTTGAAGGGTTCTGAATAAGACTGTCATGACACCGTCATAAACATGACATAAAACCTGTCATGAACATTCAGTCTTCATGAATATTTATGACTGTTGTCATTCAGTAAATTATGACCTTTTTAAGCCAAAGTTGACATTATTCAAAATGTCTTTATGACAACTGGACATTAATCAAGAAATCATGATCTGACATAAATTGGTTATTAAAGTATCACTGATTAAACTTTAAAAATGACGTAGCTTTATGTTATTAAAGTTAATGTTTAATCAGTAATACTTTTATAACAAACTTATGTCAGAACATGATTTCTGACATCTGGAGTGTTTTTTTTTTTGTTCCAATAAAACACAATGCACGAAATTAAACAATGTCTGTGTTAGGGGTTTGTTTTTCTTCTTAAAAAACATAAATATATAGTTTTAGAAAACTTGGCACATTTACCCTGAACAGTATCCGAGCAATTAGACTTTGTGCCAAATGTAGAGGTGTGCAGAGATGTTTATAGAGACCCGTATCCACCACGCCTGGATCCACGGCACATGAAACCACTGGAAAACCTTCTCTCTGCATCTCCTGGTGAAGATAAGAACTGAACAGCACCTGGGCCAGTTTACTTCCGCAGTAAGCAGCATGAGGTGAAAAATGTTGGCTGAAGAAACAAAAAACAGAACAGTACTTTATTTTAACAATGAGCCTAAATAACAAGTTCAGTTGTGTTAATTGAAATTGGTAATCTGAATAATCAATAGTATTCCCTGATTAGTCAGTCTATGATATCATTGACAGTTCACAAAGCAGGAACCCTGAAACAACCCCTTTTGTTCTTTCAAAGGCTTCAAAATTGACATGGTGCGCCGTTTGATCCCCAACAATAAATCTGTCAGATTTGATGCAGATCAGATAAAAACAACTGATGAAAAAAGAAAACAACTGTCATTCTACCATTTATTTATCAGAAGGATGAAAAGTTCCACATATCCACGTGGATATGAAGCTGTAATAATGAATTATGTGTAATAATGAAGCTTCCATTATTCCACATAATGGTATCTTCATATGCAAACACCACATTAATGATGACGCAAAACAGAACGACAGCATGTTTCTAAACAGATCTGTATCTCACATTCATTACAAGACTATGAGAAAAGTCCTGTTAGATCTTTCTTTATGTTAAAGATGGCTATCTCTAACATAAAGATAGTGCTTTGCCTGGAAGACTTCAGAGCCCTGAATGGAAGTTAAAGAACATCAGCTACAACCCATGGACATGCAAATGAGCAAAAATAATGAAGAATCTAAGCTGCTAATACTTCCTGACAGCAGTGATAAGAGCTGAGACGATAATGAGACATGTGAAACCATTTTCATCTCATCAATGCCAAAACAAACGGAAACAACTAATGATAATGCAAACGCCAAGACATAGAGTATAACAACATCTGGTATGAAACTGTTTTCTGAATGGGGAAAAAAATACCACAATCATTCCTTCAGCAAAAAATATATGATTTTCATGGTCTTTCGAGGCAGATGGATGGCAATTGGTAGCCAGAGCTTGTAAATGTTGCACCATTCAATTAACATTTGCCCTTTACAAATGTTGCTACTTAATGGCACTTAAAACTGCAGTATGTAACATTTAGAAAGAATAATGTTTTTTACATATTTGTTGAAACAGTTACTATGACATGCATGTAATTCAATCTCAGTATAATACAGAAGCTCTCTGAAGGCCTTGGAGGGAAAACAAACACAGCCCATCACCCAGAATGCAACTCTCCCAATCTTACTGAGTTTGAGCAACTCCGCAAAGAAGAATGGGCACCAATTTAACATCTCTTGTGTGTTAAACTAGACACACCAAACTGCAATTGCAGAAAAAGGCTGAATAAGTGTCTCACTTTAAAAATTTTAATTCATAAAACATTAAAAATTTTCTTTCACTTCGAGATTCTGTACAAAGTTGTGAAAGTCTATCATCAAACAAAATGTGTATAAATTTCAGGAAAGTGGAAAAAGTGTGTACCCACCAGCTGTTTAAGTCATTCAGTCTGATTTCCCCGATGGAATGAGCTGACGACGAAACATTGACCACACAGGAAACCTGACCGGACTTCCCAGAATCCTTCAGTGCATCTAGGAGGAGCCAGGTCAACAGAAAGTGGCCTAGGTAATTCACACCAAAGTGCTGCTCAAACCCATCCTCAGTTCGGCCCTCGGGAATCAGCATCACACCGGCTTAAGATAAACAAAAGTCAACATAGCTGTTATTAGTAGCTTTGTTTGCAAATCCCCCCCATGACATCCATTCCTAAAAAACACAGCTCTCAACTTTTTATTAGATTTGGAGGAACGCTTGAACAAAGAAAAATACTCCAGATCTTGCTTGGGGGAACACATCTGACTTTACACTTCTATGCTGGTGTTCAGTCTAATGTTACAGATTCTTGTTTACTGCATTATAAGGGTTTCTCTCTCACCGTTCATTCAAAGTACTTAAAAAAAAGAAAGCTTTGTTCGAACAACGGACCATCAAAACAACTTGCAAACGTGTAAACCGACTTCCAGCTTTCTCACAAGGAACATCAACTTCACGTTAATAGGATCTGATAGCAATTTTACAGCTAGAACTTGTCATGTGTGAGGGCCTGGTGACCAAGCAGGGGTGTACCTCTTGTGTGAGCCATTGAAATTGAACTTGTTGTGAAAAATGTTTCTTGTTTAGGAGCAATCAAAATGACAAACAAGAAGGGACCCCTTGTGACACACTGATTTAGTCGTTAGCTTTCTGTCGTCACTGCCACCTCTTGTTCCGATCAGAAATTCTTTATGCTATGAGCAATCACACTTTCTGGCCAACCTGACGTTGATTTAAAATGTCAACAGCATAGATGTTGTGTTGCGCCCGGAAACGACAAGGGTGACAGACATTGGCAACCTTCCCAAAAACTGACTGCTTCCTCAGCGTACCAGGAAAGGGCCTTTGGATACAACAACAATTCACAGTGAAACTCAAAGAAAGAGAATTGTGTGTTGCTCCCTTGCATATGCTGCACCAATGAACCCTATCTATCATGGGTAAACAACAACTTAATTTAATAAGAGGTCGGTGCACCATCAGTCACCTAGAGTTTCACATCGTCTCTCCCTCCAATTTCAAATGGAAAACTCTTGGGATAAACATGATTTAGAGAAATTGTTGAAATTTATGTCATAGATGCTTGTCTGCATGCCTAAACAGACCATTTTCGTCCTGGCACAGAGAAGCTCCCAGCTGCAATCAGTGATTACTTACAGGAAGTTACAAGACCTTGGCAAGTTTGAAATGAGATAATGGGGCTTTTAGCATCAATTAATCATTCATTTATGTCAGAGGATTTTAATTTCCAAAGCTATTTGTAATTTTGACCTGAAGACGATAACAGAAATCTCGTTATAAATGAAAACCTACCCACTCTGAGACTTTTTTTATTGCTCCTGTACTTCTCACATTACTGCTAGAAAAGCCCAGCTCAGACTAACATCTCAAAGTTTACCAATGACATTCATGACAAACAGAGGAAGGTACAGAAAACACAACAAAACTGAATAATTTAGTAACTTAAATGTTAATATTATGTGTCATATCTACCTCTAAAGTAGAGTTCAATGAAGAGGAAAGAGGTGCTTGAGTTCAATTTCTATGTATATATGTAAAATGTTTCTCTAAACAGTGCAACTGAGATTTAAATCCACTGCAGAGAATTTAAATTCTGACACTGTTGACAGCATTAAAACTACACTGCAGTGCTGAGGATTTAAAACTTGTGCTGAATACATAAAGTAATGCACATGCAGAGCATTGCATAGGTATTAGTACTGCTTTAACTTTTTCCACACTTCGCCATGTTACGAACACAAACCTCATTGAATTTCACCTGTTCACAAACAAGCAGTGCAAGATCATGAAGTCGGGAGAAAATTAAATTATTATTATTTGGTGATTAAAAATAAACAAATACATATATAAATAAATAAAAATCTAAAGGACTGGACCTGCATTTTCAGTTTTGTAGCAATTACAGCAGCATATCTTTTGAAATATAGCCAACAGCTTCAAACCTCAGAGTAAAAGATCTAAATATTTTTGCAAAAAAGTTCAAGCTCTGTCAGATGACATGGAGAGCATTCATGAGTATCAAGTTTCTGCATCAGCCCATACATGCTTTGAACTAAACCAATCCATCATGGTTCTGGCTGAATGTTTTCATAGTTGTACTCCTTGGAGGTAAACATCCCAGCACTGTTTCTCCTCCAGAAAACTATCCACCGTGGTTCATCCTCACAGAGAGCATTTTCACCTGTTCATCTCTTTCTTTCACTTCATACCCATCAAATACTATGTGCTAAACTATCACATAAAACCCATAAAATTGCATTGAATTTTGTGGTTATAATGTGACATAATGTGAAAAAAATCAAACAGGTATGAATATGTTTGCAAGGAACTTCATGTAATGACTACAAATTAAGAATATATGTCTCTTACCTACCATTATTTACCAAAATATTGAGTGGCAGGTTCCTCTTCTTGAAGCTGTCAGCAAATTGTTGGACTGACTGCAATGAAGCAAGGTCCAATTTCGCAAACTCCACTGGAATGGACAGAAACACATGCACACACACATGCACACACACACACACACACACACACACACACACCACACACACACACACACACACACACACACACACACACACACACACACACACACACACACACACACAAGTGATTGTAAATGGATTATTCCTGCAAGCACTTTTGCCAGACATCAAAGAGTGTATTAATCGTCTCTTATAGTGGGCTCTCCCACTGCTATGTCTTAGTCCATCATTTCATATCTTAAATTACTAATTTTGTCAGAACCCATCATAGCTTAAGACTTTTCTATGTGAGCTTTAGTGCATGACAAGATAGAGGTAAGAAAACCCTGCAAAGGAGCCAAGATAGCTCTGCGTTTTGGTGATGGTTTATCTTTGAACAGTGTTCCTGCACATTTGTCATGTCAAATTCATTTCTGAAATGGAAAATAGAAAAGTTAACCATGAATTTACTGCTAGTGCTGAGTTCATGTTTTAAATTCTTAGATACCTCTGAAAACTACAAGTAGGTTCAGCGAGAGCAAGCAAGAAAGACAGCATGAAAGCAAGAAAGTATAGAAAATAAAGTGAATAAGAAAGAAGCAAGCAAAAACAAGTTCTTGCTTTACTTGGGCATAAGGAAGGAAATTCATGAAGGAAAAGAATAAAGTATAGACTCAAAGACTTGGAAATTAATTTCACAATTATTAAACACCTGAGGTGTTAAAAAATGAAATGAAACCTCTGGATGCAATTTAAATAACTACAAGCCATCAGTCACAGAAAGTTTCCTGCATGGTTATCGTACAGCAAATGAATAACCGATTTAACAATGTAATGTAACCTTAGGTTTGAAGTTTGTTTTCCCCTCAGAGAATATAAAACTGCAAAAAAAATAAAGGAAACAGAAATTTCTGCTTTTGCAAGAAAGCAAAAAAAAGTCTACATTCTGAAAACTTACTTTTTTGGAGAATTGGAGATTTAAAATGGGTCAAAAAAGTACTACAGTTTTACCAAAATCAAAAGAAGGAATAAAACATTACACCCCCGGAATAATGAAGGCAATAGTATCTTCAAATTGTATTGAGCTCTTGTTTCTGTTTTGTTTTTCATTTACTATTTACTATTTCAATAAATGAAAACATTGATGGGCAATAGAGGTTTTTCTCCAGCGGCTCTCCAGCAGCAAAATGCCTCTTCCGTTGCAGTCATGAATGCAGAGTCATTTCGCATCTCCAGCAGCAAATTGAAAACTCATCTCAAGAAGAAATGGGTTAGATTCTCCCTCCACGATTCATCCACCTCTATATTTATTACAGTTACATTTCAAGCATCATAAGCACAACAACAAGCATGTATCTTTTTTGCTCTCTTTTCTACTGTAGCCAAAATGCACTTAAAATGGGTGTTGGAAGGCACCATGAAAATATGTCATGTGCTGCCTTTTAAACTGCTTCATAATTTGCACAATGACATGACAGTGAAATATAATGTACGCCTCACAGTTTTAGAAAGAATACTGCCTCTTCACAGTAAAAATATTAAAGAGAGGAATTCACAGTTCATTCGGTTTGATAAGAATACTTCAAAAGACATAAATTTGTCAAAATATTTGAAGGCTTTGATCCAAACCTTTATGTCTAAATGCACTTCCTTTATTTCCCAAACCTGAATAAATAAAGGTCTTGGCCAATTTATGCTTTTTTTTTTGTTTGTTTGCTTTCTCTCAAACATAAACATAACAAACAGATCAGGACCTACTAACAGAAGGCAAAAATATATTATTCCTCTGTATAACTCATGTAAGTCTGAAGAGGTTCACATATAATGGACAAAGACAGAAAGAGGACTGAGAGGGAAACAGAGGAGAGGAGATTTGATGGGACTGATAAAAAAAAAAGGCTGCAGAGACAGTGAGAGCGCGGCTGTCCATGACCAAGATCTGATAGCAGACTTATCTCCAGACCTTGTCATTCACCTCTTTCTGACTGCACTTGTGAGACAGAGATTGAAAGGGCGCACAGAGAACATTATGAAAAATGAGAGTGTTTGTGTTTGAATGGCTCTGAGCACGTATTTGCTTCCTTTTGGTGATGCATTTGCCTTTCCAGACAACAGAGAAATTTCTATGTCTCTATGAAGGCAGAATTAATCATGTATGTGAATGATAATGTCAGCATATCAAGAATTTTAGGAAAAATACAATAGTTTTATAGTACAGTATAGTATAAAGTGTAAAGAACGATGTATTTATTCCATGATCTGCCTTCATTCACATGCTTCTGTTTAATAAATTTGTTGTTCAATTAAATGAAATCTATGGTTGCCGACAGTCGTCTTGCTTTGATAAGCGGTCACAGTATACCATATTTTATTACATCTAGTCCAGAGATCAGAGATTTGAACAGGTTAATAACTATATGATTTAATGAAACATCCAAGGTTATCTTAAGTGACAAATCACATGGTCACACACTGAAACAGTTACACTGTGACATAATGGGTACACCTTTAAAATGAACAACCAATAGCAGTAAAAACTGACCACTCTTTACTTGACTGGTGACAGAAAAGCTGCTGAGGGAGCAAGTTCAATAAATATTTTCTAAGCTCAGAGATGTTTTTTTTTTTACTTCCCTCAGAAAACACCTCCTAAATTTCAGCAATCAGCAGATATGTTGTCAAGCTAAACAAACTTGAGCTGAATAAACCAATCAGCGCAGAGAAACCTGCACCGATTGGAATTTTGTGACCGATTCCAATCGGTACCAAAACAACTTAAATTCAATAATCAGAGCTGCACCAAGAGAACTAATAACCCATTTACTATCATTTTAAAACAAAGACAAATTGACCACATCAATCTGCACACTTAGCATAGCAAAAATCTCCATTCTCCATCTGTACATCCTGTAGAATGTAGAGCAATCCTCTGGGAAAGAGATTGAAAGCCCAAAGGATAAAACTGAGCATGTTTACTGAACTCTGATAAGCCTTCCTGCTATCTACTAAAAGTCTTGATCTCTTGCAATCTAAGAGCCTGAACAAAATACAAATAGTATCCCTTTAGAAAACCTTGCTTAGAGTAGAAATAGGTAACTTTTGAATTTTCTTCCCACAGTAACAGCTTCCAGCTCATTTGCATTGTATGATGTGTTCAGTGCTCAAGAAAAACTGAAAAAGATCAGATTTTTGATTTGTTGTTAAATACACACAGAGCACAGAATATTTTTGAAGTTGTGCTGAGAAGTATATTTCATCTTGCAGCTGAAGGTTTTAAGAACAATGTTTTCATCTTCAGAACTTCAAATGAAAAAAAATAAATAAATACCAGTTTTTATAAAGCCAAACATCATGCTGCAAGGGATCTGTAATTTAAAATAACATTGGAGTTCATTTAAAAATATCCTGATGTATATTGTGTATCGTGACAAAGCAAAAATCTATCAGGATATTAGATTTTCCTCATATCCCTCAGCCCTACATAAACAGTTCAACACAGCACAAAAGCAGTGTCACGTCAAACTGAAAAAAAATAAACAACTCATAAAACTAACAATATTTTAGTCTCGGTTTAACAATTCAGCTACAAAGGACGGATGTTTTGATAGAGAAAAAGTAATATATGTCGCTTCAATTTTCAATACAAAATTACATAAATTATGCAGAGAAAGTACCATTTATTTAATCAAATAAAATAATGAAGACCCTTTAAAGTGATATCCAACAAAATGATGAACTTGAAAGAAAACACAGTTACAAAAAATTTAGGTAAGTGCTCACAAGGTTTGCCATTGTGAAATGATATTTTTTTTATAATGTTATGGGTTTTTTTTCAACACTAATGGCTAGTTTAGACTTAAAAAATATAACCATTTCTCATCTGTGGTATCCAAGATTTCCAGCAGTATGAGAAACAAAGATTGTAAAATGTTCCTAAATTTTTCATGCCTGGTTTTCAAGCCTGGATAAACAGGACGTTCCTCCATATTTAACAAAGCAAGTTCTGGTGAACACCTATTTTTATCATAGAAATCATAAAGTACCACCACCATTTTGAAAATCAAGATCAAAAAGAGGTGATGATATAAATTGTAAAAAGCAGAGAAGTTAGAATAAAGAAATTATAGCAGTGCATCTAGTTTCTCATAAATCCCCGTTTCCACCTGGCTTTAACATGATAGTGTTCCGACTCAGGCCACAGTAGTTATGATTTAGCAGGATTACACCTAACTCTGATATTAAAATGCATTGCTGTTAAACACATTAAACTTCTCCCTCTGGCTGCTAAGAGACCAGAGACCCTGCATTAGTCACTAAAGGTGTCGATAAATATCCCTGTGAGAACGGGATGATTTAGCTTTATCCTCTGACCTGATTTCGTGATTGATTTTTGGCCTTAAAATAACACAGTTTGACCCGGACAAAGGCAATAAGATTTGTCATTTAATTACATATCTGAAAACTACCACTTGATTCAAGAGTAAAAAATACACAATGAATGAACCGGTACCTCTGAACAAGCTCTCGGAGACAGCAATATAAATAGATTCACTTTGAGCTGTCTGATAAAACAGTGGAATCCAAGAATATTAGCTCTGGGCAGCATGCCAGTGTCAGCTCCTCCACAGATGTTCTTTATTCAGCTGCTGTAAGGGAGAGGAGGCTGGCTGGTGTTCAGTCAACTCCTGTCTGTACCATTCATGTGATGCTGCAACCACCAGAGTAAAGACAGCTGCAAATCCAAACATGTATATTCTTTCTTAATTATAAAAACATCAAACTAAAAGAATCGTTTAACAGTCATGCATATATTTTCTCTTCACCTTTTCATCAGAGCTTGACGAAAACAAAAAAAAAAAAAAAAAAAAAAAGGAAAACCCGACCATTTTGGAGTTAGGTGAAAGATGAAAGAAATTTAATGCATGTTAACCATACACACTTACACAGCTTGCCTTGCTTCACGCTCTTAAATTAGGTCTATGGTTTGAGGCACATTGTGCTACTTTCAATGCACCGTGACTAAAGTTAGTGGACAGACAGACCTGCCTGCAGCAAATATACAGAAACGGCCGGTGTGTTTATGTACATGTTCATAATTTAAGGTAAAATGCCCTAACTTCATGGACTAGCACTCAATTGCGGTCTAAAGTCATTATCATACACCCGCAGGGCTGTTTTTAGGTTTTCTGGGGACAGAAGCTGTTTTTAAACCAGGCGATACACTGAAAACGGATGCCAGATGGAGCAAAGAGGTTATACTTCTGCTTTGAAAAATACCTGAAACCCACCTTGAATGAAAAAATAAATATTTAAAGCATCATTTAATGTGCTTTAGAAAAGCATTAATATCACTTGACTTTTTTTTTTACATGTATACATTTTGTCGCTTTCACACCACAAACTTTAATGGATTTTGCTGGGGTTTTATGTGATAGTTCAATAAAAATCAAACCTCCGCAGTTCCGCTCCCTTGAGCCATTACATTCAAGAACCCGGGTCACGAACCATTTCGCAACTGAGAATTACTTCATGGGTACCAAGTAATACAAATGGCTATCAGTGTGATACTCAAAATTTCCTTTTAATTACACAACTTATTAATTAATGATTTATCTATCCTTGGAACAGCTCCAAAGGCAATTCATTTGGTCTTCAGGGGCAGCCTTAATGCCAAAAGTATTGTGTTAGTGACCCCTGTTTTGGAACAGTGTTTAAATGTAATTACATTTGGTGTTTACTTCTGCATATTTGAGATATGCAGAATATATACATTATTTTTTTTACATTTTTCTTCACAAAACTATTCAAGTTCAGTCAGATCAAATCAATTCCCTGATGTTTGTTTTGCTAATGTACTTGAATGTAATTTATGTGGCGTTGGACTGTTTTTTGACGTAAGTTTAGGATTACACTGATTTATCATTTTTGATCCCATCTTGGAGTCTCAGTGGACATTTCATCTCTTGGCAGTTGAGATGTCTCCTGCCATTTGTACATTTTTGCTGTAAAAATAAAAACACTACACTTTTGTGAGCTCGCCCTCCCATGTGGACCAACTTCCATAAGTTGGTACTTTTGCTTACTCTAAGAGCCAATTGTCAGCTGCCTGAAAACCACCGAGATGACTTCAGATGACTGTAAAACATGTAACCACTTCTTTAGACTTCAACTTCAGAATTTCAATTTTTAGATTTTAACACAGATACTCAATTGGAACTCGGTCTGGTCTTTGACTAGGCTGTCCAAACAGATGGGCATGCCTGGATCTAATCCATTCCATCATAGCTCTGTCTGTATGTTTACGTTAAACATACAGACAGACCTGTCCTGCTAAAACGTTAACTTCTGCTACAGTCTCAGGATTTTATTCCAGCCATTCTTAGAAGATTCTGTATTTATCTACAACTTTATATCAACTCTGTCCAGCTTCTCTGTCCCTCCACACACCTTGACACTACCACCATAATGTTTCACCATTGAGACAATGCACATGGTTATGCATTGTTAATTTTCACACAAGAGCACCTTAAAAAAAACTAAATGTTTGTTGTGTCCAATTAATAACTTGTGGCAACAAGAAATTGCATTTGCTTTTGCACCACAAGGTGAATGGCTAAAAAAAAAAGTGCTGTTAACAGATTCTTCCCCTTCAGATGTGGATCTCAGCAGCTCCTCCAGAGTTACCATGGCCCCTCTTGGAAAACCTCTTAGACAGACTCACAAGCCTGTGGACTTTTGGATTTGCAGTTGTGCCAAGTTATATTTTTGGATTATAGAATGCTGTTGGTTCAGTAATAAATGAGAGGTTTGGTTTGATTTATCTCCAGATAGTGAGATAAAAAGATGTGTCTTCTAAGTTGTTGCATGTCGACTTCTAGTTTCAATTGTATTTGCAAGATTGAGACTAAAAGATAAATGATGCATGAATGAACTAGAACATATGAAGACATTCAGCATTGAAGTGGATTTTCTTTCCACTGGTGACACCATGAAGTGATCAGATGAAACTACCTCTGAAACCCACATGTCTATTATAAACTGTCGCCAATTTCTCCCAACAGACAAATGTGCACAAACTGGGAAAGATGCCAAAGGCTTTTTGGACAGAGATGTTTAAGCTGTTGCCTCACATACTAATGAGAATCCATTACTGTCTCGCTCCACTCACCCGAACACACGCACATCAACACATTCGCATTCAGCGCACAAGCAGCTGGCTGTAGACACCCCATGTCCCTTCTGTCTCAGTGTCTGCCAATTACAAAAGAAGTAATCAATTCTACCATGGCCGCATCCAGGGAAATCGACTTCAATGACACCGGCTACATGCCTGCTGTCTAAGTACCTGACACCCTCAGCCCTCTGCGGCCTCCCACCACAAGGCCGAAGCACACATGCCAAAGTCGTGCTCAATAAATGGCAATGCTCAACTGAGAACTACTCTACCCAAATAAACAAAATGACCGGTATTCAACATTTTAATAAAAATATGACTGTAATTTGCAAGGACAGGTGGTGATGCAACACAGTGGTGATCAGCAAATCCAGGAGCTTTTTAAACATGGCGTTAAATCAGAACTGCTATCAAAATAAGAAACGTGCAAACAAGAAAAATTGCAGTTTTGCTTTGTTGCGTCTTTGTGCTTTTCTAATCCAGCGACATATCTTTAGACAGACTGATGTTTCTTTCAGCTCTTTTCATTTCATACCTTCCTTTTTTCAGATTGAAATTTCAGATGGCGAAAATAGTCAGTTAAAGCATTTTGTTGACCACCCATAGATAACTCAATTTAATAGGTCCCCCCAAATTTTTTTTTTCATGATTATTATGATCATCATCATTATTATTATTACAATAACATATAAAATGGATTTTGAAAAGTCCCCACATGATGGAAATCATGACAAGAAAATGGTAGGTAGTGAAACAAAATGTGTTGACTGAAAAAACTGAAGTTGCTGTTTAAGATCCAAACTCGCAAACAAAAACCAACAAGTAGAAAATATGTACAATTAAGGATAAACTTGAATTGGCTGAATTCAAGTTTATCCTTTAAACCTGGAAATCTAGGTCAGAACCTTGAAAATCTAGAGATAGGAAATCTATTTCAAAATTCTGATTGGTGCAGCTCCTAATTCAAAGAACCAAAAATCACATATTTGAACTATTGCTAAATCTAAAAGAGGCAAATAAACGTAAAGCCTACTAGTGATGTGTATTTTGCACTGTTTTACAAAAGAATCACCTATAAATTCAAGTTAAATATAGTTTGACTTGAAATTCAAGTCAAGCATAACTTCAATTGTGATGAAAATACAATGTAGTTCAAACTCAAGGCCTCTTCAACAAAGAAAGGAATAAGTTATGACATTCTTGTCATGGCACTGGTGGAATTGATGGTGCTTTGAAGGTCAGCCGATTTAATTTCTCAACACTGAAGTTAAGAGAACCCTGTAAGCCTTCGTCGATGAAGTGATAAATTTCAGCTATCAATTGTCTCTTCTCATCTCCATCACCTCCTCTGTGGCTTCATTTCTTTTCCTGCCTCCTTTCTAGAAACGGTTTTCTTTCATTTATCTTTTGTCACGATGTCCTCCTTTTTTTCTGCCTGGGTGCAGCACATCTTTCACTGGAAAACCATGTCTGTGTTCAAATTCATCAACATGGCAGCACAAATCTGAATGGTTGCCAGGTTCTGGGTTTACAGCTGTTGGTCAGCCTGGGTTTTGAATGTAGAGAACAGGAGCGAGAAAACAGCTGAAAGTATAGTGCTTGTGCTGTTTGTACTCCTGCAGTATTTTTATGTCTTTGTTCATCATGGGCACTTCAGTTAGTTAAGAATAGATTAATTAAAGCTTTTGTTTATTTGCCGGCAGGTGTACAAACAGGTGTATGTGCTTAGATTCTAAAAACAAAGCTGAGATAGTCTTTACTCAGCTTTTCCACAAAACATTTCATTGCTAAATTAAGTCTGCTTTATTAGAAGTATTTGCGTGAATGTTCATGTGTTTATAGTACTACCTCTGGCCTCCTTGTCCTCTTCACAAATCCTTTTGATGGCAGCAAGACCCCTCTGCTCATCCCTTCCACCTAAAATAGAGATACACAGAGACACAGATGAATATTATGTCTGACAAGGCCTTCAAGGCTTTTAAAAGAGAAATACATGCAGCTTTTCTGTTATGCAAGTCTTCTATTTCTTCATTTTACAAAACCATATTTCCAAGACGGGTCCTTCAAATTAAATGAAGACTGGAAGAAAGCTCTGCGGAGTTAAGATCTACCTGTTAAAAATTTTATAAACATCTTTTTTAACTTATTGAAATCTTGATACAGACTGCAACGTTGATTTTAAAAAGTTAAGACATGTTAATACAGAGTTTTAAGGCAAAGCATAATATCACTGTGAATTTCTTTACAGTCTGGGCCCAATAAGCAGCTCTTTTTATCTAATTGGACCATTATTAGGATGATTAGACAAAATTTAGCTAAAGCATGTCATCTCTTCATATTCCTTCAGTTGATAGATGTCTCAGATAACACAGATTGACAAGCATAAAATAGTGCTTTTGCACCAATTTAGTAGGTTCCAAGGAGCTACTAGTCAAACACCTGGGATTTCTTGGCATGGTGCACACTGTTCTTAGAAAGATGTGAATGGAGAACACAAGTGGAAAAAGCTTTAGAGAAACGAGATAAAACAACACTGTTCATATGCAAATTTCAGAATTGTACAACCCTAAAAAATAAGACAAATCCAAAGCACTGAATCTGAATGATACATCTGGCTTTGGAGGTAATTCAGCCGCTTTACAAGAAAGATGGATCAAAAATGTTTTTAAAAGATGAGGTACTCACAAGAATCTTTAAAAAGAGTGAAATTAGAAACTGAAAATTATAGAGTGCTTTCGCAAATTTAAAACAAATCTAAAATGTTGATGTAATGGGTGATTTTATGTCAAGTGGATGGATAAATGTCAAACTATTTCAAATTTGTCTTAATATATATTAAATTTAAAAAGATTTAAACTGACAATTAACAATTCCATATTTTATATGATATTTATGCTGAATTTATATCACAGTGGAACAAAAATATAACAAGTTTCCCAAATCTCACCAAAATCCCCAAGTAATGAGCCTGCAATAAAAAAAAATTATCATTTGAAAAATGTACAGTATTACAATTTCCTTATGGCGTTGATAAAAAATTTTGTATTTTATATTTTAAACTTTAGTAATTCTGAAAGAACTTTATCAGCCTCTGACTGTGTCTTAATGAAAAACTGGCATTATTAAAAGTAAAAGCACAAATATATAAATACATATTTTTGTTTTTATTTTTTATTATGTCAGTTTTGATCCTCTATGTATCTTAATGTGAAATGGAAGTTGAACATTTTTGAATTAACTAGGAGTTCTTAAATTCAACTAAAAAAATAACATCAAAGCAACCCAAAGTAAAAAGATGCAGAGACAAAGACAAAAAGAAGATGGGTGTCTCTTGCTGGACTATACAGAACAAAAATGCAATTACTATACAATTCATCTTAATTTTAGAACTAAAAAAATTTGAAACAAAACTAAGTATGAAAAACGTCACGAGTTAGTCTGCCAAACAAATACAGCCCCCATCAATACAAACTTCAGGAAATGACATTTAACAAAATGCGACACCATAAAAATATCTGAATATTTAATTTGATATAAGAATTTGCCACATATTGACAAACAAACTCATGAATAAACACACACACTAAGAGTTTCACTTAAATCTTTACAAGGCAATACACACGTTCACATTTTCTCTCTGACACACTAATCTTGGATTATTACACTTGGCTTTTCAAGGGCACGGCATTATTTGCCCCGATGCACTGTGGTTCAGTCGAGGCTCATGCATGTGGCTTCTCTGCATGTAATGGCAGAAGGGTGGCACAAACACACAGGAAGCAGACAGCAGAGGGTCGGAGTCTTTCTGTCCTTTTATTTATTTCCTTTTTGACAATCACTTAAACGGCACATTAATAGACAGGCTTTACACTACAGAAAAAAAAATCTATTGAACTGTTTCCAGACAAAGCTGCTCAATAAACTTCTGTGACACCATTTTTGTTCAGAAGTTGCTTAATAAACAAATCAGACAACACAGACCAAAACAGAACATTTTTGAAGCACATTCACATTGTTTTGTGGATGAATATTAAAACACAGCTCCCTGAACACACCAGTACAATGTGGTAAAATGTTGGTGGCAGCATCCTGCCTCTGGAATGCTGTCCTTCACGAGTTACCAAAAACAATGAAAAAAAATGCAAGGAAATCATAGAAGTTAGAACTTGCAAAACGTTTTAAGACTGAAGGGAAGTTCAGATCCAGTAGCACTCAACAATTAAATGCTTATTTAATATATTTGAAAATCATTCATAAATTCCTTACATTACAGAATTACATGACATCTTGTTTTGTCCTGTCATATAAAACCCCTGTAGAGTACTTTGACGTTTATAGCTGTTCTGTGACAAAATGTGAAAATGTTTAAAGGGCAGGAAGGTTATTGGAATGCACTATAGATAAGCTCTGCGATGATACACACAAAAATGGGCCATTAGAAAGATAGTTTTTGTAAACATAGAACTAATGCCTCTCACCTTGTTGGAAAAATTACTCAGTATATTCTTTATTGTCAGAAAACAAAAACTATCAGGTTTTATTATTTAGTTGTCATGGAATGTTAATAAATGATAGGTATGATCTCCTCTCCTTTTGCTGTTGACAATATATTTGCCATATTGACAGAGTTGCCCCGTTTCAGACAGAAATGTTTACAAAGGGGAGTTTTAAAACAAATTGTGCAGAGATTTATGAAGTTCTGACAAGTGCAATCTGCTGGCAGTGACATTATTATCCATCAGAGATGTGAGTCTTAAATTTGTGAATGAAGTACCTGCGAGAGGCAATGCAAGATAAGGAAAATTTATCAGGAATAGGAAAAGAAAGGAACATGTCTATAGGGATTATTTTGTCTGATACAAATGCATAACATCTTTTAGAAACTGAATTCCTTAACCATGAAAAATAACTGCAATCACTTGTGTTTGTTTAATTTTTCTTTTTTAAAATCATACACTATCACTTCTATGTCTGATTTCTGTTCCTGTTATCACCTGCAGTGTCATTGGTCTTCTGAATATTAACAATAAAATTGCCAATGGGATGAATGCAGATATTTAGACTAAGAAATTTGTGTATTTTCCACAATGGATGGAAATCAAATTTGGGTATTAAAGATGATGTTAATTTAAATTCACTTTTACTTATTTTTCTATTAATACACAGGGATTTAAAGAAAACACTACCAGACTTTTAAAATGTTCGCCAACCAAAAATAAGTAAGGAGCAAACAAATTATTTACTAACTTGTTTTTTTTTAAGTGAATTAATTACGTAAAATGTGTATTGTTCCTGGATTAAAAAGTATATTTTTGAAATTCCACATTAATTTATTCATCAAAATAATCAATATTTTATCTTATCCCTCAAGTTAAAGAAAAAAATATGATCAAGTGTTGTGTGGGTGTAACATGACAAAATGTGGAAAAGTTCAAGGAGTTATTTCATTTTAGCGAGGCACTCTGCTGCAGTTTCAAACCTGATATCCATCACGACGGAGCAGAGGCTCAAAACAAACTCACCTCCTCACACAAGCACTATGTTCACACTCTACCTGAAATATGCATCCACTCCATTATCAGAGCGAGATCCACTTTACCATAAATATTCACACTTCATGAATTCGGTTGGTGGATTTGCAATGGAGATACGTGCGCCGTTATCAGATGTGGGATTAGTCTAAAAATCACAAGGGATTGTCTGAAGCCGGAATAGACACTTGACTGAGTTCTTTTGTGGTTTATTTATTCATCCATAGCACACTCTTCTAAGTGGCAAATCTCATTATTGTACAACTGGAATTCTAGCAAACACTCTGACTTTCTGCTGTACAGTCTAAGCGTAATAGTGAATACTGCTGATTTTGTTACAGTGTAGCAATGTAGTCCCTGTGATTAATAAATGTTTGCCAAACAGCAACAATGCTACTAAACCTCTGCAGAAAGGTTCATTATTTATTATGTGTTTTAGGAACTGATACTAAATTCACTGTTCTTACATATGGCACACATATAGAGATTTGTGTGCCATTTTTACTGCTATCAGTATTTCTTTGTGGGAGTTTTTTTTTTTTTTGGAAACTAAAAATCTTGAACTACAATTTCAAATTTTGATTGCGTCCGTATGTGGGCCTGTGAAGAGGCCAGTTTAACCACTTTGCACCACATTGCTAATTTAAATTTAGACACAAATTGCACCTAATGACACCTAAACTAGGTAATACAGAGTGAGAGCTCACACAATACATCAAACTGAATAGAAAACTATTTCTCCGACTCTCATATTTTCCTTGTGTGCAGCACAGCTTTTGAGAGTGGCTCCTGATTCCCCTTTTAGGAGCAATCTTGCTGTGAGTCATAAGTTGAACTGGCTCAGGTTGGGGAGACATCTGACGGCAGATGGAAACGGCTAAAGCAACCAAAAGACGAGCCAGCAGGTGGCACACTTTTATGTGGGGTGCCACCAGCTGGCACCCTTCATGAAAGCCTACACTTTTATGTAGACCCTTATGAAGCCATAGGAGTTCAAGAGTGGCTTGTTTTAGGTTTCTAGTTTTAATAGTATTTGTGATATTTGCTTGATTTTATTTGTATGGTTTAGTGAATTGAGTAGTTGTCATGCAATCACAAGATTGAAGGTTAGGTTCCAGCTTCTTCCTGTCACGTGTCAATGTAACAGTGCTTTAAATGGTAAGTTTAAGTGATCTGTTGGGAGTCATGTGTCAAAAGAAGAAATAATACAGCTAACTATATGACAATGAAAATACTGGTACAAGAATAGAAAACTAGTTACATTTCAGAATTTTTATTTTCTGTAGTATTTTTTTTAATACTATAACTCTATTACAAAAAACACTCTTATTATGAACCGGATAAAACTCTATTAAAACTATTTTACAACCTAAGAAATTTAACCTATACTCTGAGGATATACCTTGTATGCATATGTTTGCATCTTCATCTGAGTGATGTGGTGCTTGATACTGTACCTATGATAACATGTGCTCCCAGTCTGGCCAAATGCCGGACCACCTCATAGCCGATTCCCCTGCCTCCTCCTGTCACTATGGCAACCTTGCCATCTTGACGGGGCATCACTGGCAAAGTCAGAAGAAGACACATATATCAGAAAGAATATAATTCCATATAACTAACCTACACTGTTGACAGTCTACAAAATTCATGTATACTTCAAGTATAAAATAATTAAATTATGGTATATTTATGTGCTTTAAAACAGATTAATTTAATTTATTTATTGATGCATTGTCAACTCACAATAAACATTATCACAAGGCAGCTCTACAGAGCAAATAAGGGACAGATATCCATTAACATAGAATAAGTTTCAATCCAACTCCATGAACTCCAGATCAATTCATCAATGCCAAACTGTACAAATGTAGCTTGGTACCCAGAGCAGGGTACCAAGCTGGTGCTACACAATCTGATGAGTGAAAATTCTCGTTGCAATATCGGTGTGTGAAATATTGCGACCAGAGAAGTACGGTGGCCCTGAGGAGAATGCAGATTTTCAAAATATTGTAATCCATGGCATAATATTGTAATGACAGGAATAATAAAACAATCACATGACGTGAGCTTTCACACATTAAATATGAGAAATTAAATTGACCAAAGGTCAAGCGTTTTCTTTGATGGACATGAGCTTATATAGGATTTCAATTTCTCCAAACCAAACTGCATTTTAAAAATGTACTATTTAATCTCAAATCCCCCTGGAACAAATAAAAACGCTTCGAATCGCAAATGTTTATATTTAATGTAACTAATAGGTCATCCCGGAAAATTCGGCAACATAATCAACCCAATAAAACATTTTAAAGCAGTGTTTTAAACCTTTTGTATACCCTAGCTAGCATGGCTACTTTAGCATAACACGTTAACTGACGAAATAAAGTTAACGGCTCACTCACTGAATTAGAATGAGCAGGGCAGCTGCTGTATGCTCATGCTCCCTCCAGTTAATTAAGTCGATACAACGCTGAGTAGCCGACAACTTGTCTAATATTTGGTGTGACAACTGAAATCGAAATGCACTAACCTGGAAGTTTTAAAGGTTTGCTTAGTAGCTGATCCAGCAGGACCTTAAACCCAAGCAGGTACAGCTTGATAGCAGGGAGAAGACGAAATCGAAGGGCAGCCCACATCCTTGGCAGGGTGTGCAAATGCAGCAGAAATCAGTCAATCTAGACAGGCAGAGCGATGCAAGCCTGTGGGACACATTCCAATACGACGTTTGTGCATCCTCGCTTCCTTGCAATTCTGCATGACACACACAGTTTGAACCCTGGTTAACTTTGCCAGTATTTTTCCTTTGAAGAGTTGTTCTAAAAATACATTATGCCTTCAACTCTTCCACAACTGTGACATACAGAGGAGTCTGTTTGATGCGCCTTCTCTGTAGTTCCTGCATATTGCTTCTTTCAGCTCACTGACTACCTCATTAACTGCTGCCAGAGAGGTCACACACTTCTGAAGCAACAGCCATTTGACACTCCAGTCTGATCCATAATTTCCCCAGACAGGCTTTAAGAGCGTGTGTCTAGAGCTGAAGAAGCCTCTGTCCGCAGCGCCGTTAGACTTTTGACTGACTGATGGCAGTTAGCTTTTCCTCTCCTGGGATTATTTCAGTCTGTCACAACCGTCTTCTGTTACTGGAGACTTCCATGATGATGGTTAAAGAAAACCTTAAGCAAGGCCAGTGCCCAGCAACATAACTTTTTCAAGTTTTCAACATGTTACAGCTACAAAATATTTTAATGTGATTTAAATTGATACATCTATTTTTCTCGCAAATAAAAGTCCGAACAATTTAACATATTTATTGCTCCAAATTCCAAATTTCCACTACAATTTATTAGCTTTATGCATATAATGATTCAAATTCTTATTTGCAAAATAACCAAAGCACATACAGATTTGAGAGCTTAGGTGAAAATCTGAAAATTCTTCTCTTCAAAATAGCCCAGCCTGAATCTGACTGGATGGAGAACATATTTGAACTGGAAAAAAATCAACTCTTGACACATATTTAGGCATTTTGCCTAAAGCCATTACAAGCTATACATCAGAAAAAGTTGAATGTCTGAAAAACGTTTATTGTTATTTAACACTTCATTATTTTTCTTGCTTTCACAAATAGTTGAATGCTTTATCAGCTTTTGTTGTCAGCGGAATGCATTAACTTACATCAGCAAATAAATGTTAAATCCTTCAAGTAATTGATGACTGTGCAACTATAATCTAATTTATTTAAAAGCCAAAGTGCCCTCAGTTAAGGATTATTTCTATCCCTTAAAAGGACACCTGTTACTTTATATGGAAATCACAGTGTACTTTAAAGTCCAAGTCAAAATCACCTATGATAAATGTGCCAAGTGGAAATGAATTAATCGTGCTCCCTGAAATAATATACTTACTGTTTTATATCAGAAGGAAGCAACTCCCTTTGAATAGTTCAGAACACATTGCTTTTATCTAGTATGAACAATGATGTAAATTTCAAATTTAAATGTATGAATTTATTTGGCAATGAGCTTTAGCATTTCTGTAAATGTGGCAGAACTACCCGATGGCTGTTTTTCTCTGATAAATAAATGTGAATGAATGATATTTGCTTGTTTGCCTTTTAAGAGTTCTTATTGTATTATTTATTCAGATTTTCAAGATTTATCTTGAAACATACAAAATGTCCTAATCACATTTACCTTTTTTGCAGTTCAGTATTCATGGAGACAGATATTTGTGGATTTTTTGCAAAGCATAACCCCAAATAATTTTTATAAAATTAATCTATCTGCTGATTTTTTTGTAGAGCATATTTGAAAAGTTCAATAGATAATTCAACTGGGAAGCTACTTTACATGCTGTTGGCTAGCATTTGCAAAGCAGCCAATACAGGAGAGCCATTTATTTTCCTTGACACCGATTGGATGTAGTGTATCCATCAAGAGCGGATATATGGAGTACTGTATAATTTAGCTTCTATGGAGGTTCTGGGGTTCACTGTGTATTTAATAGTACAGTATATGTGGTGTTTGAACTATTAAAGTAGGAGTGAGTGAGCGTTTTTAGAGGGGTGACTGAAATATATGCAGATTTTAGCCAATCACAGGCGATCCCTAAGCCCTGCAAATACTGGGTTTCCATTATATCTGATTCAGTCTATCAGATACAATGGATAGTGGAAGAAGCTCTACTTCTTCTTTCTGATGGAGCTGAGTCATAAGGAAACCATTATCAGTGCTCCAAGTTTAATTTCAAAGTGGCTGCTTCAGTTCCTTCTGATGTTTTGGCACTTTTTCATGTACTTCTTTATTTCATTCCTGTCTTATTTTTACTTTAAAAATATATATTTTCAAATTCAAAGCAGTAATTTATCTGAAGATGAAGTAACACATTGAAATTAATTGAAAGATTTAAAGAAATACACATCAAGAATATGCATTTTAGAAAGTAGTTTGTAACAAAACAATCTAATAGTTTCCATAAAATAACATTTGCATTTTGCAGTTTACCTTAGTTATAATTTCATTTTATGTGATTACCATTCACAAATATTCCATTATTTACCAATATTGTGTAAAAACAAAGATAAAAATATTAAACATTTATTGAAAAAAGGTAAACTCATTTGCAAACAAAATTGTTGTTTTATTGGAGTGTATATTAATATGAAAATGTTTGGATATAAATTTCATGCAATTATTGTGTTGTTTAGCAGAACAATTCTACCACTTTATAGGTGTACTAAACAAGTTAATTTAGCAATGCTATTAAAATAGGACATGACACAAATGTCAGTTTCCCTTAATTGTCCCTCCTTAATATGGAAAAGACAAGAGAACATAGCATTCAGGTAAAGACAAACTCCAGTAAGTCTACAATTCATAATGTGAACAAAAATAAATCAATCAAAATCAATATGACTCCCATGGGAAAACATGTAGAGGCAGACTGCTATAGTGATGGCCCACAATTGGCTAAGGAGACAGCTAAATGATCACTGGAATTCAAAGCAGGTCAACCAAGCTCTCCCTCATTTCAATGTAATTATAATCATTTCTACTAAAGACAGGCTTGGGGCTTTCACTGTATGAAGCAGCCTTTTTCTTCCCACTGACAGCAAAATAGTCAGTATTAAGTTGTGTCTTGCCTACAGTCCAATAGTTAAGTTCGGGATACAACAGCATCACTGACAAGCGGTTAGCCTCAGTTATTAAAGTCTGCTCTGGAAGGCAGACAAATAAGCAGCAACATAAAGAGAATGCACCATTGTGAGTCTGCAGACGGAGGCTGCGTGTACATTTAAATATGTGTGCACTGCTACTAAGGCGGGCTAAAAGGGTGTGTTTCTCTCTCTGGTCGTGTACACATGCTCGTGTTTGTTCTGCAGCCTGAGAGGTTCAGGGGGTCAGCAAAGCGAACTGGCCTGCCATTGTTTAAAGGAAATCGCATCTCACGCATGACTGTAGGATGATTATTTAGGATGATGGGACATCAGGAAGCACACAGATACACACACGCGCACACGCACAACAGGATGAAGACACATAGGAGACAAGCTGGGAACAGTACATGACAGGAGGGTGTGTGATGTAAATAACATGTGAACACCATCAAAATAGCTCCAACCGACAGCCACCCAGTCCTTTATGACAGCTACAGGCTGACTGCAAAGCACAACTTGTCTTACTTAAGACTACAGGCTGACAACAGTTCAGTAGGATTTTTGGATCTGCATGTGTGCTCTGACAGTTAAAATGTAATTTTTACTTCATGACTTGCATATCTGGAAAGAACATTTTTGCAGAAAATGACTTTTTGAAGTGTTGTTCTTTTTAATACATTTGCTTTTGTGTAAAAAAAGAAAAAAGAAACACCAAAGGAGATGGGAGGTGAAGTGCCATATCTGAAAGAAGGGAATTGGTTTGGGTGTGTCGTGGGCAATTTGATCTTAGGAGTGCAACAGCCTGTGTGAATCAATGCCGGCTTTTTTGGCAGTTTGAGCTCCATCTTGTGCAGCTTTTCTTCAGAAGCTTCCTTCACTTAAGAAGCAGAGAATCAAGGTTAGGCTTAAATAGCTCAGGATTTGAAAGACAACGCTACCGGCTACAAGGCGTTTCGCCAATAAAGATACTGTGCATGTGCACATGCAAGTAACACTAGTCCCCAGGGGTTGTCTTACAACCTAAAAGATGCATAGTGCATATGTTTTTGGCCCTCTGTCCTTTAGTACCCAGAGTAAGCCAGTTGCCTTCATTAGTCACCTAATAAGTCCTTATGCAATTTAAATTTAATATCATCACTTAGTATCATCACATCACCGCTTCAGAGGTTTTAGAAAACACTGGTGAACAAACAGCATAATGAAGATCAAGGAACACAGCTACAAGGCTGGGATACATCTCTAGACAAGTGTATTGCAAGATGGATTGAGCTAAATACAAAACAATCATGGAAAAAAAAACTGCTTAATGCAAAGGACTAGAGATAAGATGAATTTTTCCCATCCAGGTACAGGTTGGTACGCAAGTTTATGACCTGGTGTAGTTCCTCCACCACATGTGTGTTTTATATATATACATGTATTATTTTTGGTTTCTGCTTATTTTATGATCAATTGAATATAGTATTTATGGTACTATTGTATACACTCTTTTGAAGCTCTTTGGAAACAATCCAAAATCAATTAAAGTGTCTGAGGGGTTAAATCAACCCACAGCGGCGCAGTTTTGGTTTTATTTCATGCCTTAGCTGAAACAAGAAAAGCCCATAAAAAACTGTAGAAACAGAAAATTGTAGATGATAAAGATGTATGGGAATCCCATGAGAGGAGATCCAGGGTGATATTTATGCTCCTTTGATGTCTGAGCGTTCACCGGAACACGTGGGTGGAACAGGCAGTGGACTCCTGGAGAGCCGATTTGGAAGGTTTTGTGTCATGTGAGGCTGCTGCCTCTATAACTTTTCCAGAGGGAGAGAAGCCAAAGGCCAGCTTGTAAACACTGAAAGTGAAACTGAAATTCTTGCATGTGGGTAACCCTTCAACATTGCGGTCAAATGCAGTATGGCACCTGGGTCTAATATTATAATACACAGAGTTCATTAGCAGTAACAGTTCTGTTATCTGTAGTAGTAATAGGAAGATGGCACTTGAGCTTTTCAGAAATTTGTAGACACCCGGAGGGGTTTGTAGCAAACAGCTAGTCAGACAGATTGTTTTAGCTGACTTTTGCAATAAAAAAAATATTCAAAATGGA